CCAGCTACTTGGGAGGCTGAGGCAAGAGAATTGCTTAAGCCCAAGAGTTTGAGGTTGCTGTGAGCTGTGATGCCAGGACACTCTACTGAGGGCAACATAGTGAAACTCTGTCTCAAAAAAAAAAAAAAATTCTTTTCTGTGACTGCTTAGACTTAAAAAGAGGATTTTTTTTAGAAACAGAGTCTCACTTTATCACCCTCAGTAGAGTGCTATGGTATCACAGCTCACAACAACCTCCAACCCTAGGGCTTAGCCAATTCCCTTGCCTTAGCCTCCCAAATAGCTGGGACTACAGGCACAAAGCAGCTATTTTTTGGTGCAGTTTTGGCCGGGGCCAAGTTCGAACCTGCCACCTTTGGCATATGGGGCTGGCGACCTACCCACTAAGCCACAGGTGCTGCCCAATTTTACCAAATTCTGTAGAAATGTTCAGTTTCAAGAAGAAATTTGTTCCATTTTCACTGTGTGATTAGTAAGTTTTTTTCATAAATAAATATTAATACATACAGATTTTAAAATGAATGCTTCTATTAAATTTTATTGCTCTGAAGATATTTTTACAGCACTAATTACTTTTTAAACATTTCTTATTTGGTTTTAGTATGTAGTAACTTGTTGAGAACAGTAAGGAATTCTTAATTCTTGGAAGGATAAGCTGCATGCCGTCTAGTGTCAGTTAGAACTTATCCTAGAATCTATCAGCTTTTTGTGCGCCTTTTTACTTTCTCTCTTCCTCTTTTTAAAAATTGTCAACTAGTATGCTTCCAAATGAATGCCAAAAATGTTATGGGAAAATAATAAAAGGAAACCTATGTCTTGAGAGACTTCACTTAGGAAAATGGTTAAAAAATAAAAAGAAGAAAGACAATAAAAAAAAAAATAGAAACCTATGAACCACTAGAGTCAAGAAATTGAACAATGCCAGTGCCTTAGAAGTGCCACCCCACTAACTCTGAGTATGTCCTTATCCCTCCAGGGCCCTTAACCTCAGCCTCAATTTTGGGTTAATTGCTTCCCTTTGTGGTTTCACCAACTGTGTATGTGTCCTTAAATATATTTAGCTTCACCTATTATTGAAGTCCAAATAAATGGAAGTACATTACATGGTTCTTCTGTGACTGGCTTGTTTTGATTCACATTATTTTTGAGATTCATCCACAGTTATGTGTACTGTATAGTAATAGTTTTTACTGGTATAGAGTCTATTATTTTATGAATATATAATAATCTACCCATTCTACTGTTAGTTCAATATCTAGGTTGTTTTCAGAGTGTTGCACATTCAAATAATGCCCGATGAACTTTTATTTTATTTTGTTTTATTTTATGTCTTAGAGATAGGGTCTTGCTCTGTTATCCAGGATGTAGTACAGTGGGGCAATCATAGTTCACTGCAACATCAAACTCCTAGGCTCAAAGGATCCTCCCACTTCAGTCTCCCCAGTAACTGGGACTATAGGAACACACCACCATGCATGGCTAATTGTAAAAATTTTTGGTAGAGGTAGGTTCTCACTATGTTGCTCAGGCTGGTCTCAAACTCTTGGCATCAAGTGACCCTCCTGATTTAGCCTCCCAAAGTACTGGGCTTACAGGCACGAGCCACTGTGCCTGGCCCTGTGAACATCCTTGTGTGTATTTCTGGGCTCATGTGTGTTTCTCTAGGATGTGTAACAAAGCATGGAAATGCAGAGTCATAGGGTTGACACATATTCAACTTTTATTAGATTACACAAAACTTTCCCTAAAGTGCTTGTACTGATTTATATTCCCACTAGCCTAGATGAGTTTTCATTGGTCTGCTTCCTCAGTAACTTGGTATTGCCCAAATTTTTATATTTGTCAACGTAATTACTAATAACGTTGAGCATGTTTTCATGAGATTTTCTTTTCTTTTTTTTAATGCCTTGACTATTCTTTACCTTCTGGTCTTCAATATCTCAGAGAATATATGAACGATCCCTCTTTATGCCGGACAGCATTCCTTGTTAAGGCTTTATCTGGGCTGGGAGTGGTAGCTCAAGCCTATAATCTCAGCACATTGGGAGGATTTTTTGAGACCAGGATTTTAAGAACAGCCTGGTCCAAGACCTGGTCTTTAGTAAAAAATTAGGCTTGGCGCCCGTTGCTCAGTGGTTATGGTACTGGCCACAGGCACTGGGGTTGGTGGGTTCTAACCCAGCCAGGGCCAGCTAAACAACAATGACAACAATAACAAAATAAATAGCTGAGTGTTGTGGTCAGTGCCTGTAGTCCCCACTACTTGGGAGGCTGAGGCAAGACAATTGCTTAAGCCCAAAAGTTTGAGGTTGTTGGGAGCTGTGATGCCATGGCACTCTTCTGAGGGCAGTGAGTTTCTACCTCTACCAAGGGCAACAATGTAAGACTCTGTCTCAAAAATAAATAAATAAATAAGCAAGCCATGCATGGTGGCACAAACTTTGTAGTCTCAGTTACTTGAGAGTCTGAGGAAGGAGGATCGCTTGAACCCTGGAGTTTTAGGTTACTTGAGCTAGGCTGATATACCATGACACTCCAGCCTGGGCAACAGAGTGAGACTCTTTCTCAAAAAAAAAAAAAAAAAAAAGGACATCAAACAAACTTAGTTTAGAAGGTATTTGTGTCCTAGTTTTATGATGTCTGGCAAATCGTATTTATTTATTTAGAGACAGAGTCTTACATTGTTGCCCTTGGTAGAGTGCTGTGGCATCACAGCTCACAGCAACATCAAACTCCTGGCTTCAAGTGATTCTCTTGCCTCAACCTCCCAAATAGCTGGGAATACAGGCACCTGCCACAATGGCCAGCTAGTTTTTTTAGAGACAAGATCTTGCTCTGCCTCATGCTGGTCTGGAACCTATAAGCTCAGGCAATCCACCCACCTCAGCCTCCCAGAGTGCGAGGATTAGAGGAGTGAGCCACCACGCTCGGCTTGGCAAATTGTTTTTAGAGAGTATGTTTGTGGCCATTCTTTAGTTTTGATATCAATGAAGTTTTTCTTAAATGAACTTTTTATTTAAAAGAATTTGGATTTATAGAAAAATGCAAAGATAACACAAAGAGTTCCTGTATCTTACCTTACCTAGTTTCCCCTAAGGTTTTTTTTTTTTTTTGTGAGACATTATGTTGCTCTCGGTAGACTGCTGTGGTGTCACAGCTCACAGCAACTTCAAACTCTTAGGTTTAAGAGATTCTCTTGCCTCAGACTCTCATGTAGCTGGGACTACAGGTGCCCACCACAATGCCTGGCTATTTTTGTTGTTGTTGTACTTGTCATTACTGTTTAGCAGGCCCATGCCAGGTTCGAATCCACTAGCCCTGGTATATGTGGCCAGTGCTCTAACCACTGACCTCTGGGTGCCAAGCCAGTTTCCCCTAATTCTAACACCTTACACTACCTAATACATTTGTCAATAAAATATCAGTAGCAATGTGGTGGCTCACACCTGCAATCCCAGCAACTTCAGAGGCTGAGGTGGAAGAATTGCATGAACCAGGAGTTTTAGGCTATAGTGAGCTATGATGCCACCACTGTATTTCAGCAAGCAAGACTCTGTCTCTTTTTAATTTTATTATTTTTTATATCAAATTCATCCCTGTGTCATAATTTTTTTTTTGAGACAGAGTCTCACTTTGTGCCTAGGCTAAAGTGCCTTGTCATCAGCCTAGCTACAGCAACCTCAAACATCTGGGCTCAAGAGATCCTCTTGCCTTAGCCTCCCGAGTAGCTGGGCATATAGGCACCAACCACAATGCCTGGCTAATTTTTCTGGTTTTAGTAGAGATGGGGTCTCTCTCTTGCTCAGGCTGGTCTCAAATTCCTGATCTCAAGCTATCTGCTTGTCTCAACCTCCCAGAGTGCTAGGATTACAGGTGTAAGCCACCATGCCCAGCCAACACTGTCTCTCTCTCTCTTTTTTTTTTTTTGAGACAGAGTCTCACTATGTTGCCTTAATAGAGTGCTGTGGTGTCACAGCTTACAGCAACCTCCAACTCTTGGGCTTAGGTGATTCTCTTGTGTCAGCCTCCTGAGTAGTTGGGACTACAGGCACTTGCCACAATGCCCAGCTGTCTTTTTTGTTTTTTAATTAAGAATTAGGGCCAGGTGTGTGGTTCATGCCTGCAATCCTAGCACTTGGGAGACCAAGGCAGATGAATTGCCCAAGCTCATGGGTTCAAGATCAGCCTGAGCTACAGCAAGACCTGGTCTCTAAAAATACCCAGGCATTGTGGCAGGCACCCGTAGGCCTAGTTACTTGGGAGACAGAGGCAAGAGAATTGCTTGAGCCCAAGAGTTTAAGGTTGCTGTGAGCTAAGATGCTATGGTATTCTACTGAGGGCAACAAAGCGAGACTCTGTCTCAAAAAACAAAAACAAAAACAAGAATTGGTACACTGGTACATTACTATTAACTAAAATCTTGGGTTCATTTGGATTTCATTAATTTTTCCACTAATGTCCAGAATCCATAGATAAGGGTTGTCTTCTCAATTTCTGATTCTTTTTGTTTAACCTATTACAACTGCTGAATTGCATACAACTAATTTTATAACTTTTAACTTTTGCACTTAGTTGTCAATTTATCCAAAATATGAAGTCCTCTGCAGAAGTGATTCCAGGCCTTCAGAACCATGTTGAACTTTGTGAATTAATGGTAATGAATATCACCACTTTGTTTATTTTGTAGTATGTGATTATGTGATTGAAAACTGTTTTGAACAAGAATTTTCTTTCCATAAATAAGCAAAGAAATTCTACAAATCATCTACTAAGTACCTACCATATTATAGCTACAGATAGGGATACCACAGTCAACCAGTAAGACACAGGACCTACCTTCATGAAATGCACAGTTAGTCCATCCTTCTACTTTGTGGGGGAGACTCTCTGAAGTTAAGTAGCATCCAGGCTAAATGAATTTCATTTGTGATCTGCATTGGGAGGGCAGTAAGGCCTGACCTGCTATGTGGCCTTTTTTAGGACAGGGAAGATATTTCTTTAACAAAAGCAAATGTCCAATAAAATCATAAACCCATATAATAGGCTGAGCTCTTTAAGCTGAACAATCCTGCATAGTTCTAGGGGGAGATAAGGCACTAACAATTTAACATACGTACACACATACATCACCTTATTTTGAGGCTATATGTTAGGTATGTTAAGTTTGTCGTCCCACAAAAAGAAAACAAAAATAGCAACTTGCTTTTCTTTTGATTCATCTTTTATATTTGTGAACTGAAAAATGACATTGAAGAAAAAAATTGGGAGATAGATTATTTTTTAAGAGAGAAGCGTAAACTTTCTGCAGCCTAGGTAATGTAATATTAAAAATGTAGTTAACAAGAACAGAGGCTGTGTCTACAATTTTTGGAGGGTCTTTCTTTTTTTTTTTTTTAAATGCCTACAGCACCCAGTATTCCCAGGTGGTCTCCCATCCAAGTACTAACCAGGCCCAACCCTGCTTAGCTTCTGAGATCAGGTGCATTCAGGGTGGTATGGCCATAGACAGGGTGGGCCTTCTTGCCCCAATCACTATGATTCTGATTACCTGGATAGTATTCACTCATGGAATGAATCATTGTATCTGAGCCAACCAGGAACACACAGCCTTGCAGATGTTTGCAGGTGATTTATTGTTTCACGTTTGGAGCACTCCCCACATCAGTCCCCATAACAATTTGAGGGTGGGCTGTATTTAGAAGACGTTTTGTCTCCTATTATAATGTGATTCCTCCCTCTCTTTATGCATATCTTGATTTAATAGAGGATTTTATTTTTCAAAGGAAAGCACAAGTGAAAGCAATCTTGAAGATTCAGCTGCGGATAGTTCTATATTGCCAGGTAAGAAGCTTGAAGTGGCATATGGGTTCTATGTCTGTGTAAATATATTTGCATTGACTGGGGGTTTGAAAAGAAAAAGTATTTGTAATTGTGCAAAGAGCTGCTACAGAGGAGCAGATTGCAGTGGAGAGTATCACATCTGAGAGAAAGTCAGGGCTTCTGTGATATCTCCAGAGTGCTCCCGGGGCCAAACTGACAGTAATCAACATTTCAAATATAAACTAGTATTTAAAGGCACCATTCAGCAAGCTTCTTTCCTGAGATTTTAAAGTGGGAAATGATCATACTCCATTGTGCTTCCCTTTGTTGCTCTTGTTTTTGAGACAGGGTCTTGCCATGTTGCCCAGGCTGCAGCGCATGGCTCGATCATCGCTTCCTGCAGCCTTGAACTCCTGGGTTTAAGGGATCCTTCTGCCTTGGCCTCCCAAGTAGTTAGGACTACAGGCATGTGCCACCATGCCCAGCTAATTTTCAACTTTTCTTTTGAGAGACAGGATCTTCCTTTGTCTAGCCTGGTCTCAAACTCCTGGCTGCAAGCAATGCCACAGTGCTGGGATGACAGGCGCGCGCCACCCTGCCGAGCCTGTGGTGCTGCTAATAAGCCACATTATGTGTAGGTCTCCATGTTAAGAGGGGCACTTTGGACATGTGCTCCCCACATTCTGATTTTGTAGAGGAAACTGAATGTCACAGAGACGGTGGAAGGGCCTAAAACGTCCTTAGTAGATGGGCAGATTGAGGTAGTGAAAAGAGTATGGTATTAGGACTGAGAGAGATGTGAATATGAATCCCAGCTGTGCCCCCCTTTCTTCTCTCCACAGAGATGGCACAGGGTGAACCCCAGTGGTTTCAAGAGGCAAAGAGTCTGAATGAGCACCTGAGAGCAGCCTACCTCAATGCCAGTTTCCGCCGCCTGTCTTTGCTTGAGATCTCTTCTGGTCTAGCCACGGACCACTTGCTGGGCTGTGATCTGTCCATTGTTTCAAAGGACATCAGCAATCTTGTACAAGAGCCCCTGGTGTTGCCCGAGGTCTTCACCAAGCTGAACTCTGTCATGTGTGTGGAAGGCGAAGCTGGTAGTGGAAAGACGATCTTCCTTAAGAAAATAGCTTTCCTATGGGCATCAGGATGCTGCCCCTTCTTAAACAGGTTCCAGCTGGTCTTCTACCTTTCCCTCAGTGCTACCAGACCGGGCCAGGGGCTGGCTGACATCATTTCTGACCAACTCCTAGAGAAAGAAGGATCTGTCACTGAAATGTGCCTGAGGAACATCATCCAGCAGTTAAGAAATCAGGTGTTATTCCTGCTCGATGACTACAAAGAAATGGGCTCAGTCCCTCAAGACGTAGAAAGACTGATTCAAAAAAACCACTCCTCACGGACTTGCTTGTTGATTGCCGTCCGTACAAACCGGGCCAGGGACATCCGCCGATACCTAGATACAATTCTAGAGATCAAAGCCTTTCCCTTCTATAATACTATCTGTATATTACGGAAGCTCTTTTCACATAACATGGCCCGTTTGCTAAAGTTTCGGATTTATTTTGGAAGGCAAAAAAATTTGCAGGAGAGTCATAAAACTCCCCTTTTTGTGGCAGCAGTCTGTGCTAATTGGTTTCAGTATCCTTTTGATCCGTCTTTTGATGATGTGGCTGTTTTCAAGTCCTATATGGAATGCCTTTTCTTAAGGCACAAAACTACCATTGAACTTCTCCAAGCAACCGTATCCTCCTGTGGCGAGCTGGCCTTGAAAGGGTTTTTTTCATCTTGTTTTGAGTTTAGTGATGACGACCTCGAAGAAGCAGGGGTTGATGAAGATGGCGATCTCACCATGTGCCTGATGAGCAAATTTACAGCCCAGAGACTGAGACCAGTCTACCAGTTTTTAAGTCCTCCATTCCAAGAATTTCTTGCTGCAAGGAGGCTGATTGAACTCCTGGATTCAGACAGACAGGCAGATCAAGACTTGGGCCTTTATTATTTGAAACAAATCAACTCATCCATGATGGCTCTAAAGCCCTACAACAACTTTTTGAACTATATCTCCAATTGCCCTTTAACGAAGGCAGGACCAAAAATCGTATCTCATTTACTTCATTTGGTGGATGATAAAGAGTCATTGGAGAATGTATCTGAAAATGATGACTACCTGAAGCACCGTCCAGAAATTTCCCAGGAAATGGTATTCATTAGGAGATTTTGGCAAATGGCTCCACAAGCTTACTTTTCACTGGTTTCAAATCATTTACTGGGCCTTGCCCTAAAAATTGCTTATCAAAGCAACACTGTCGCTGCATGTTCATCACTTATTTTGCAATTCCTTCAAGGGAGAACCCTGAGTTTGGATGTACTTAAATTACAGTACTTTTTTGATTACCCAGAAAGCCTGCCATTGATGAGAAGCATTCAGGTTTCCATAAGAGGAAATAAACATCCACGTCGAGCAGATTTTTCAGTCCTGGAAACGTGTTTAGACAAGTCACAGGCACCAACTATAGATCAGGACTATACTGCTGCCTTTCAACCTATGAAGGAGTGGGAGCAGAATTTAGCTGAAGATGAGGATATGGTGGAGAGTTATATGGCTATCCGGCACACAGCACCCCCAGACATCAGTACTGGCTACTGGAAACTTTCTCCAAAGCAGTACAAAATTCCCCTTCTGGAAGTCCATGTGACTAATGCTGATGCTATAGACCAGGAGATGCTCAAGGTGCTAATGACGGTTTTCCCAGCCTCACAGCACATCGAGCTCCATTTAACTCACAGCAGCGGCATTATCGAAAGCATCCGCCCAGCTCTTGAGCTGCACAAGGCGTCTGTCACCAAATGCTCCATAGACAAATGCGAACTCAGTGTGGCAGAACAGGAACTGCTACTCACGCTGCCTTCCCTGGAATCTCTGGAACTTACAGGGACAATCCAGGCACAAGGTACGCTCGCATGTATTTCGGATGACGATTCTCATGTGTAATTTTATTTTCTCACTTAGGTTTAGGTGGTTGAAAACTTCCGAAATCATGAGAGTATAAAATGATCACTGATGGAATATACAACAACAAACCTTCACTAATGTTTTTTGTCCATGGTATGAATTAGTGAAAGAATGTTTTTCCAAATAATAGAATGGTTTCCCAAGAACTCAGAATTAATAAAATGTTAAGTTAATGAAGGCTCTTAATAAATAGACAATAAACAGATGTGAGTTGCTTGTTACTGGTGAAAGAATGAGCCACATGTAAGATGACGACGCGTACTCTCTGGGAAATGAATCCAGCAATGGGAAACAAGTGCCATTCATTTAGGTCTTCTTTAGCTTCTCTAAGAAATACTTGATAGTTTTCAGTGTAAGCGCAATCCAGCTTTCATTAAATTTATTCCTAGGCACTTACGTTTTCTGATACTATTACACACGTCATTTGATGTTTTTCACCGTCTAACTGTTGCTAAGACAGCTCCACTTCTCTGCAGGTTTTTTTTTTTTCCTGCCATTTTTGGCTGGGGCTGGGTTTGAACCCACCACCTCTGGCATATGGGGCCGGCACCCTACTCCTTTGAGCCACAGGCACCGCCCAGCATTTCTCGGCAGTCTGACTGTTAGATGTCTAAGTGTGCTTTGCCTCGTATGTATCTTGCTTGAGGGTCGCTGTGGTTTTGTTTGGATCTGGGGTTGACATTTATCATCATATTTAGAATAATTTTGATTTCTTTCCAAATATTTTTTTATTTTGGTAAAACACAACAAACCTGACGATTTCAACTACTTGTAAGTGTACGATTCAATGGCATTAAGTACATTCACAATGTTATACAACCATTACCACCAACCATTTCTGAACCTTTTCATTATTTCCTATTTCATTATTCCCAAACAGAAACTCTATACCCATTAAACAGCTCCTCCCTTCCGCTAGCTCCTAGTAGCCTTTATTCTTTTTTCTTTTTTTTGAGACAGAGTCTCACTATGTCGCCCTCGGTAGAGTGTCGTGGCATCACAGCTCACAGCAACCTCAAACTCTTGGGCTTGAGAGATTCTCTTGCCTCAGCCTCCCAAGTAGCTGGAGGCACCCACCGCAACACCTGGCTATTTTTTGGTTGTTTTTGTAGTTGTCACTGTTGTTTGGCAGGCCCGGGCTGGATTCGAACCTGCCAGCCTTGGTGTATGTGGCTGGCACCCTTAGCTCGGCCACTGAGCTATAGGGGCTGAGCCCAATGTTTAATTTTTTTATGCCATTTTTGTACCATTTTATATTCCTACCAGCAATATATAAGGGTTCCGATTTCTCCACATCCTCTTCAACACTTGTTACTTTCTGTTTTGTTTTGTGTTGATATCATAATGAAGTGGCACCTCATTGTGGTTTCGTTTGCCTTCTCTGATGACCGAAGGCTGCTGAGCATCTTTCCATGTGCTCATAATGGCTGCTTGTGTATCTTCTTTTGAGAAACCTCTTTTCAAGTCCTTTCTCCGTTTTTAATTGGCTTTTTGGTTGTTGTTTGGCTGAAGGAGTTCTTTGTATATTCCAGATTTTAAAACCTTATCATACACATGGTTTGAAAATATTTTCTCCTGTTCCATAGATCATCATTTTACTTTACAAAGACCTTTGATTTACAAAAGTTTTTTAATTTTGATGAAGTCTAACTTACCTATTTTTTTCTTCTGTTGCTAATTCTATTGGTGTCATATCTAAGAATCCATTGCCAAATCCAAGACCATGAAGATCATGAAGATTTACCCCTATGTTTTGTTTTGTTTTTTTAAGAACTAGAGTCTCACTTTGTCACCCTTGGTAGAGTGCCCTGGCATCACAGCTCATAGCAACCTCCAGCTCTTGGGCTTAGGTGATTCTCTTGCCTCAG